ATTTATTTATTTTTATTGGGGTATAATTGACACAAAACATATTAGTTTCAGGTGTACAACACAATGATTCAGTATTTGTGTATGTTGTGAAATGATCACCAAAATAATCATTAACATCCCTTACCACACATGGTTACAGAATTGTGTGTGTGATGAGGACTTTGGAGATTTACTTCCTTAGCAATTTTGAAATATGTATTACAGTATTAACTAGAGTCATTATGCTGTACAACACATCCCATGACATTTATTTTAAAACTGGTAGTTTGTACCTTTTGACCTCCCCCACAGCCATTTTGCCCCCACCACCCTGCCTTTTGGCAACCACTAATCTGTATCTATGAGCTTGTTATTTGCTTTGTTTTGCTTGTTTTATTATTTAGATTCTACATATAAATGAGATCATAAGTATTTGTCTTTCTCTGTCTCACTTAACATATGTCCTCGAAGACCATCCATGTTGTCACAAATGGCAAGATCCATTCTTTCTTACGCCTGAATAATATTCCATTGTTTATATATACCACATCTTCTCTATCCATTCATCCATGGATAGACACTTGAGTTTTTTCCACATTTTGGCTATTATGAATAATGCGGCAATAAACATAGGGCTGCATGTATCTTTTCAAATTAGTGTCTTCATTTTCTTTGGATAAATACCCAGAAGTGGAATGATTAGATCATATGGTAATTCTATTTTTAACTTTTTTGAGGAACTTCCTACTGTTTTCCACAGTGGCTACACCAGTTTGCATTCCCACCAACACTGCACAGGGTTCCTTTTTTCCTGCATCCTTGCCAATACCTGTTGTCTCTTGTCTTTTTGATACTAACCATCCTGACAGGTGTGAGGTGTTATTTCATCATGGTTTTGATTTGCATTTCCCTGATGATGAGTTCTTTCTTCTCTTTTGTGTTCTCTTTTTATCAATGCCTCTCAGGGAATTATACTTGAATGTCTTAAAAATATTTTATTATTTATAGGGAACAAGAATTGTCCTTGTCTCATTCTGTTTCTCACTCTTGTTTTGTCATATCCTGATCTTGGCTTATGGCTTTTGGCTGGATGTTTCCTCAGAGGTGTAATATTCTTTTAGGATGCTGGGTTTCTCTTTCCCAGAGCTCATTATCATCCTGGTTTTTAAAGCCTTTGGGCAAAGATTAATTTTTTAATAAAGTGGTATTTTCTCAAATATGATGGTGTTATTGTAAAGGCAACAAAAGGGATAAGGGTAACTCTGGGCTGGGCATGTACATGTATTTCTCCATGTACCCGAGCTTTTGTATTCATGTTTATGTGCCTGTATATGCCTGTGCTTTAGAGCTGCTGTCCATAGAAAATTAGTCTTGCTATGGAACACAGCTCATAGGAATGAGCTGCATAAATGAGAAAAACAAAATCTATAAAATGGCATAGAGTGAATAAGGAAAATGGTTAGTAGCTTAAAAAGGAAACATACTTTCAGAGTTTTTTTTTTTCTACTCATAGGAGAACATTTTAAACACCCATCACCCCATCCCTAGATATAACTACTACTAATATTGGTCATGTTTCCTTCAAGGAATTTTATATTCATATACCTACACATGTCAACTATATTTAACCTCCTGATCCACTGGCCTAATATGGGGCAATAAAATTGCTGTATTTTCCTGTAAATAATCTTGTAAAGAACCTCTTTGTGCATGAAGTCTCTGTTCAAATTTTGGATTGTTTTCTTAGAATCAATCCTAGAAATTGTCATTATTGGGTCAGAAGGCAAAAAGCATTTGTAGCATTTTACCTTCCTGAAGGGCTGTTTAAATCTCTACTCCCACCAGATATTGAGAAACATGTTCTTAATTAGAATTTCTTTGATTATATGAACATCCTTCATATGTTAATTAGTCATTTAAATGTCTTCTTTGGTATTTTTATATTCATGCTCTTTTTATATGGAAGTCTTATGATTTTAATTATTATTTGTATGGCCTCTTTAATTACCAAGAATGTTAACATGTTGTAGCTTTTGTAACAGGTATTTGCTGCAAATATTTCCCCCAGCTTCTTACTTTATTTGTTTTTTTAAATTTATGAATGTTTGATCTTCATGTTTTAAAATATTATGTCCTGAAACCCTTTTATAATTATATTCAGAATTTCTATCATCCTTTTTAAGGATCACTTTTTAAGTGATCAAAGAGATATTAGTCTATTTTCTTCTATATGGCTTGAGTTTTTACATGCTGGAGAATAGTGGTTTACAAGGCAGACCACTTACAATTGATTACTGGTTTCGACATTTGGTTGCCAAGTGGTGTTGGTTATCCTCTTCCAACCTTGGCTCCCTCATCTGTAAAGCGAGGGTCATTACAGTACCATCACAAGGTGGTGTCATAAGGACTAAGGACAATAACTTCTGTAAAATATTTTTAACAGGGCTCAGTACATACTAAGACTCAATAAGTGGTAATTATTATAAATATTATTATTGATACATAGTAAATGAAAAGACTTTAACATGCTTTTTTCCCCAGATGGCTAAATGGCACTATTTATTGATGATCTTTCCTTTTCCCATTATAGTCAAAGTGACTTGCCTATATTACATTCTCATATACTATAACACCTGTTTTTGGCTTTCCCATTTATTTCTCAGTATATTTATATGTATGTGCCAAATATATATATATTTTTTCTTTAGATGAGGGAGAGGGAACAGAGAGAGGGGCAGAGGGAGAGAGAATCCCAAGCAGGCTCCATGCACAGTGTAGAGCCCAGTGCAAGGCTCCAGGCCATGAGATCATGACCTGAGCTGAAATCCAGAGTCAGGCACGTAACTGACTGAGCCACCCAGGTACCCCTGTGCCATACTGTTTAAAATACTATAGCTTTATAATATTTAACACTATTATATAGAAAGAGTATGCATTTAGGAAACATTTTTTTAACTATCATAATTATTTTATTTCTTTTCCCCACATGGATTTTAGAGTTGTAATTAAAAATTTAATTGGATATTGTAATAAGAATACATAGCTACATCTCTAAATATACAACTTGATAAATACAGGAAAAATTTTACACATGGGACGCCTGGGTGGCTCAGTGGTATAGCGCCTACCTTTGGCCCAGGGCGAGATCCCAGGTCCTGGGATTGAGTCCCACATCGGGCTCCCTGCATGGAGCCTGCTTCTTCCTCTGCCTGTGTCTCTGCCTCTCACTCTGTGTCTCTCACGAATAAATAATAAAATCTTTAAAAAAAGTGTCTAAAAATTTTTTACACATTATTAGTAATGTCACAGACATAATTTAAATGCTTTTTTTTAAGATACTACAACACTTGAGTACATTTCCAAGATGAAATGGTGTTATTGGGATGCTGGGAATAAGACAAGTAGAGTGAGAATTCATTAGTGAATAAAATTCAGATTATAAATGTTTACTCAGTTTTTTAGGACATGGCCACAAGTAACATAGTCTATTATTTCATCAAATGGAAATGATACAGTGGCCACTTACACTATGTAAATGTGTTAAAACAGCAGCCCTCACTGTCTGTTATGATGCAGAAGAAAAGTATACAGACCGCAGATTTTCCTTGGAACTACCGAGTATCCTACTACTAAGGGGGAAATGCTCTCTGATCTTTGTGTTTACCACTGCAGTGGCAGCATTTTTGTCAACAGCATCACTACATTTTAAACTGCTAAAGAAAGTTTTTGTGTGTTGTCATTTCAGCAATACACTTTTTTTTGCAATACACTTATTTTTAATAACACTGCTAAACATTTTGTTTTATGCTTCAGTTACTACAGGCATACATTCATGACAAGGATGCCATTATAATTTTCACCTACTAATGGAATGAATAGTTTTATGCTTTAACAATAACAATTTGGCCCCCAAATTATTTGCAGATGATAAATAACAGAATGTCCGTAAAGACTTCAATGTTCTTTAAGAAAGGGAATCTTTTATTTCTATGATGATGGGACTCAGGTGTTTTGACAGAATGATTGCCAGAGTGTGAGAGAGAAAAGGGAAACCTCTTCCAAAGGGTAGTAAATCAATTAAATAGGACATTAAAGAACAATTTGCATAGGACAGTAGTCAATATAAAGGAACACCACAGAATGTGTTATAAAGATCCTAACTTCATTCTTTATAGTTCCTGCTGTCAAAGTTAGGAGGTGCAGAAAATACCATCTAGAAGGACTCCTTTAGAGAAGACTTGAGAGCCCTGTCTGGGGAGAATTCTAGAAAGACTTAGAGGTACTTTTTTTTTTTTTTTTTAAGATTTTATTTATTTGACAGAGAGAGAGCACAAGCAGAGGGAGTGGCAGAAGCAGGCTTCCCACTGAGCAGGGAGCCTGACATAGGGCTCGAACCTAAGACCCTGGGAACATGACCTGAGCTAAAGGCAGACGATTAACCGACTGAGCCACACAGGTGCCCCAAAACTTAGTGATACTTGATGGGGTTTCCAGAATCTGATCAAGGAGTGCTTCTGTTGTTGCCCTCTTTTTAAAAATTATAAAAAGTTTCAGGCATTCAAAGACACATAGAGAAGAATATAACAATATTATATATTCACACTCAGTTCAGGTAATCAAGTATTATACATATAATTGAATGGTATCTTCTTTTTCCTAATGAGGAATCTATCATTGAAAATATAGGACTTGCATGTCCTAAAATCTCCTTTCCAAAGTTCTTTCCATCTAATATGTTCATCTTTCCTTTGTTGCCATTGGGTGCCAAATGGCTATAACTGGCAAAATGCTCTAGATACAAATTACCTGAGCTAAAAGATGGTTGATGATTAGCAAATGTGTAAAGTGATTCTAAACAGTAGGGCTAGATTGTTAATATTTTAATTCACTTGAAACTAATTAACAACTGTCCTGGACACCAACTGTCCTGGACACCAACTCTCAAGGCTCCTTGACTTCTCTTTTTGAGAAAAATTCTTTTCTAAACCTAATAAGAGTAGAAGGAAAGAACCACGAGTTACCTGTCAACACTGAGAGCGCAGAGATTGAGGACGGTGATCCCCACCGAGGACTTTTGCAAAAAGGGGAACAGTTTGCAAAGAAATACGCCAAAGTCATTGTGATCAAAAGGCCAGCGCCCCGCCAGAAGCTGAAAAAAGGAGACATTGTGGTAAGAAACAACAGAGCTGGCATGGAATACATGGACACTTAAAATTCTAATTATCTTCTGAACTTCTAACTTGTTCATTATACTTTCCAGTTAGCATGGCAGCAATACAGCATTATTATCATTTTTAAAAATATTTTAAAGCCTTGGCAATTTTTTTAATCTGGAAAAATGTAAAGAATGATAAATATACTAACAGAAGAGATGAACCTTTGATCTTATGTGAAAGTAGTCATACTGCCTACTTTTCAGAGAGCAGCAAAAGGTTAGGGTTGGGGTGACAGCTTGACAGAGACACAGCAGTCATCTCTTATCTATTTTTACTAAACCATGAATAAAGCTAACTTTCAAGTAGCAGCATCAGAGGATTATATTATCTCCTGACAAGCAGCACAGGCTCTGAATGCGAGGTTATGATGAATCCTGGAAAAAGGAAGTGGTTTAGGAATGCACTGACTTAGGTGCTTAACATCCTAATTTTGAACTTAGCTTTTCCTCTGTGCATATGGGGCTGACTGCTTCACCAGGCGTGTCCTAAGTGGCCTTTCTTTATTTAGACTTAAACTTCCCTTTCATACAGAAACATGGTTACTGTGTTCTGTTTGTAGCATTTGCAGGAAAATCTAGTCTTCCATGTTGACAATTTATAACCTTTACTGGAAGGAATGGATGGATACCCTCTAGTGGCTCCAGTAAGTAGCAGGAACACAAAGACCCCTGTGAGTTGCTGATATTTATCTAATTAGGTATTATACCTGGAGCATGGGCTTAAATAATAGCTCAGCTACCTAAAAGGGACATCCGTGCTGAATTCATGATGCCTTTTCAAGAGTAAAAATAGTATTGATCTCCTTTCTAAGTTTTGCTTAGTGACCTATTCCACTCAATAGGAAACACTATCCAACTAACTTGATGAACCTGTCTTTTTTTTCTTCTTCTGCAAAGTACCTATTGCCTGAGTAGATCTGAGTTGAGCTTTGAATTTCTGTTCTGACCTATCTAAAAGATTACGTGAGGTTTAATTTCATGGCCAATGTGGTCATCAACATAATACTCATTTTGAGAATTTAGTAGTGTAGGGCTCTCTAAAATTCTATTTTTATGGCTAAGACCTTGTATGGTTTATTTCAGAAATTCTCTTTTTAGTCTTCAGACATATTTCCCTTTCTTTTTTAAAAAAATGTTTACTTTTAAATTCAATTTAATTAACATATAATGTATTACTCGTTTCAGGGGTAGAATTTAGTGATTCATCAGCTGCAGACAAGACCCAGTGCTCATTCCAAGTGCTGTCTTTAATGCCGATCAGGCAATAACCCAATCCCTTACCCACCTCTCATTTAGCAGCTTTCAGTTTGTTTCCTGTATATTTCCCATTCTTTTAAATGGTTTTCTGAAGGGACCTTTGAATTAAGGAATCCAATTCTGCCTCTCATCTCTCTTTTTTTTCCCTTTCACTCTGACGAGTCTTGATTAATATCTCCTCATAATTTCTGCATAAACTTTTGTCCAAGGACAATTGGTGGGTTTTTCACAGGAATCCTGCACTAAGCTCCTGACAATTTTCATGAAACTAACAAATAATGATACCATTGCTGATTGCTGGTTGTTAATGCTTGATGCAAGTAAAGATATAAAACACTATTTCTGAGATGAATCTCCCTCCATAAAGAGAAGAAAACCTGAAAACTACTTTTTATAGAATGAGAATTTAGTATTTTGTCCCACAAATGTAAGTTTCACAGAGAGGTGAATAAAATGCCTAAGGATTGTTGCAAGATATGCTTTGGAATGATTGAGCTGTTACAGTTGGTTCATTTCAGAAACAGAGGATCCTGAAATCCATGTGGATGGATTTTCCAATTCACACATACAATAATGAGAAAAAAAGATGTTTATTGCTTAATACGGGAGACTCTGAAGTCCTATGAGGGTCTAAATGACAAATGCTAAGAAAAATGAGCCAGAAAAAAACCACAACTGAGCATCTATTGTTTCAGGACTTTCCAATTGCAATTGAATTTTTTTTTTCTTTTTTCATGCTTGCCAAAGCTTTCAACTAAGGTTAGATGTAGAGGAAGGACTAAAGGGAAAGATATCATAGAATTGGTGGGCACCAAAAAGATATTTTGTAGAGTTTTGTTATTTTTTGACATAAGTAGAGTTTTGTTATTTTTCCTTTCCCCAGGAGCGAGCATTGATTCTTCTTGGGAATTAAAGGGAAAGGAAAGAAATCACTGGAGGGGCGTACCTGGGTGGCTCAGTTGGGGTTTTGAGATAAAGCCCTCAGTGGGGCTCCATACTCAGCACAGTCTACTTGAGATTCTCTCTCCTTGTCCCCTCTGCCCCTCCCACTGCTTGTATTCTCTGTTGCAAGTAAACAAATAAATCTTAAAAAAATAAAAAAAGAAATCATTGGAGGAAATTTCTGGACAATCACACTGAGACATTTCCAATCTATCCTCTTTATTTTGAAAGGCTATATGGATAGTAACTGTCCTAATGCAGCCGGGGGAAATCAGGCCACTGCCTGGGGTAACTTCTTCCTAGCTCCCATCCAATCTCAGGTAGGCCCTGCTTGCTAATCTCTTTCTTCATAGAACCAGTGTAGGAGTAATTTTATATTCCAAGTGTCAGCATACTCCGTTTTAGCAATAAAACATATACAAAAGAAAGAGAGAATCAAAGAGGCATAGAGTGTTGTTCACCTGTTTTTTCTTTTATTTAGAAGAGATATTTTAGAACTTCTGAAAGACTACTGGGAATTCATCCTTTCTGTTCTTTACTAGCACTTAAAATTGAAAACAGTATTTAAAATGGTAAAAAATTAAGCTGTATAAAAACATATAATGAAAAGCAAATCTCCCTTCCAATCAAGGCCCCTAAACTCTCTTCCCAAAGGCAACCATTGTTAATTGTTAAATGTTTTCTTCCAGAAAACTTCCTTTGTACATAAAAGCATATGCCCTTAAAAAAAGTGGGAACATATGGAAATAATACCTTTTAACAGTCTTTTATGATCTTTTTTGCCTAGAGTACTTTTCTGGTAAGCAGTTCTAATGCCTAACTAAAAGGTTTTGATTTTTAAAGGCACATCAATGAAAGAATTTAGGCTGGGATAGGAAAAAATAAGGAGGTGTACAGGATAAATCCAGACCACAGCAAAGGAACTAGTTGATTTCATTAATGTTAACAAGCTACTATCAATTCAATGAAAGAAAAACCAAACTACTCTGACAAACTGACAAGTTGGAATGGTTCAAATGGTTAATCAGGCACCAGGTAATCATAGCTTCTTTTTGCCATAGAAGGTCCTATGCTATTATGAACCCTCATATTTATAACTTCCAAGGACATCACATGGTCCCTAGTACACAGTAGGTATTGAAAGAATTAATGATCCCAACTCATTCATTCAGGAAAATATTCTCATCTTTTGAATCATATACTGCCAATTTTGCCCTGAAAACACATTCATCTTGTAATTTACTTCTTATTTAAAAGTTGTTCATCAGTATCCCAGAGCAGTATTTCCATTTCCTATGTTGAAAGAAACCATGCACCTGCCAGTGGGTCATTTGACATAGTGAGAGAATACTGTTCTATTTAAGATGTCAGGTTAAAGAGGAGATGCCACACTCTTTGCTGTGAGACAGTCCAGCCTGGTAAGAACCACAGAGCAGACACTTGGCCATGATGCATGTTCTGTGGCCTAATCACATTCTCAAGTGGCTACAAGGAACAACACAGACTGCTTGCTGAGGCAGGAGAAGGCGATCTGCAGAGTACGGATTTTACTGAAGGATACTTTCCTTGATTCTAGCCTAGGGGATTTTTCTATAGTTGAAATATAGTTCCTGATCATCACCTGAAAACTATGGTACCTCTAAATGGCAGAAATTAATGTAGAAATTATGTATGTGTGTGGCTGGTTTGGATTATGTCCAAACCAATATAAAATTGACAGGCTGCATTTTTTCACCTGTCAAGAGCAGAGTTAGTTACCTAAGGACTTTGTACTGCAGGGAACATTCATAAGCAACCTGTGTTTAGAATGACTGGATCCCAAAGCAGGATCTCTGACCACCACTATGTTTAGTACAAAGCAATGTCTACTTTTTGGAACCTTTCAGATATGTGCAGTGTACCTGGTCATGTCAGTTTTCTGGAACATAACAACCAGAAATAAGCAAAAATGTAATGAGCCAATCGTTGATGTAAAATTTCTGCCCCCAAGCTCATGTACTTTACTTAATGGGCAAACTACCTTAGTCTTCATCGCAGGATGACTTACTCTTAGTTTACACCCAACGCTATAAAGTTGGGCTTTTATTGTTTTTTTGGCCCGGTATACATCTGAAGCTGCTTGTTACTAGGAACCCTCCAGAGTCATAGCTTTCAGTCTTGCCTGTACATTGGAATGATTTAGGGAGCTTTTAAGAATCCCAGTCCCTGGGCCATGCCCCTACACTAGTACTTTTCATCTTGGGGCAATTTTGCCCCCAAGAGGACATTTGGTAATGCTTGGAGACATTTTTGGTTATTACATTTGGGTTAGGGGACAGAAGCTCTTAACGTCTAGCGGGTAGAGAGCAGGCCTCCCCAGTGAATAATTAGCAGCCCAGAATGTCTATAGCACTAAGGTTGAAAACCCTATAAGCCAGAATCTTTGGGGCTGGGATCCAAGCCTCACTAGTTTTTAAAGCTCTCAGGTGATTCCAAGGTACAGCCAAGGTTGAGAATCATTGCTCCATTGTTGTGGTTCTCAAGCTTTCCCAGCATCAGAATCACACAGAGGGTTCATGGAGCCAGATTGCTGGGCTGTACTCCCAGAGTTTCTGATTTAGTAGATCTGAGGTGGGGGCTGTGAATTTATCTTATTATTGTATTAATTTTATTTAGTTATCAAAGTAGAGTTTACACACAGCATTTGCATTTCTAGGGAGTTCCCAGGTGATGCGGACAATGCTGGCTCATCAACTGTACCTGGAGAACCGCTGCTCTAGAAGCACCATGATCAACAAAATATGATAGCTGACAACCAGATAGTGCAGGAGGAGCAGAAATAGTATAAAATATAGACATATGAAATAAAAAATCATAGTAGTTTAGGGCCTGCATCCCACAACCCCCTCGCCCCAGTAGTCCCTAAAGTCATCAGTACAGAAAAGTATAGTTAAATACTGGGTGACTTCACTGTTATGCAAGACCCAAATGTTATGGCCTAATGTGTCAGGCCTCACCAGCATGGCAGTACAGAACAAGGCTGTTTTTCTCCCTAAATTCAACTTAGGTTGTGAGCTCAGAAGACTTAGGTTGAAGTCCAAGATCTACCTGTTACTATGTGACCTTGGGTAAATCTGTCTCATTTCTTTATTTGTTAAATGGGGTGGTTCTCATACCTCCAACAATGGTATGATGACATTCTGGGGGGGTTCAATCACGAAAATGCATATGAAAGAGTTCTGCACACTGAATCTGTCCCACACAAACATTAGTTATTTTGAACTGCTATAATTTGTAGTCATAAATGGAAATGTACCATTTATGTACAGCTTAAGGAAAATAAGATAATAGGAATGAATTTATCCCTCTTTATCTATTCCAGATGTCATCTTCTGCCATTTAATGCTATTACTTAGACATTACTTTTGTTATTGTCATGGCATCTTAATAATGGGATAAATAAAACCAGTGGCACATTTTTTGTGTGTGCTAATTTTCCTTCCAGCCCATCCGGTGCGGCTGAGGGATTCTTTTCCTTCCTTCATGCCACTCCACCCATCCTAGACAGGAATGAGGGATTTATGAATACAGTCTATAGTAGCTGTAAATCTCAGATTAAATGTTCTCCTCACCTCAACATGAATTATGGTAGTGTCACTTGGAATTAAAGATGATGGAACGGGTACCACTGTTCAAAAAGTGGGGTTCTAAGATTTTCTTTCTTGCTGGCAGAAGGGCTGGGATGTAGAAGTTGAATAGTCAAATCAGTAGTAAACAAGAACAACTTCCAAAAGCACACATTGAGTTAATTATCATGCCTGTGATGCCCAGGACAGGCAGTTAATGAGAACATGCTCTCTGGCTATTGCAGATCTCAGATAGGATACAATAAAATAAATCACTGTGCGTGACTGAGAATGGATTTTGCTTTTATGTTTTAATTGCTTCAGGATTGAGGCAGAGTTTTAATAGAGATAAATGAAGTAAAAACCGTGGCTTCTACTCTAGCCACACACATTTTCCTTCGACAGGCTCCTCTTGTCTCCTGACCAGCCCCAAATTTGGAGTGTATGACAAAAGGCAGAGCAGAAGCAGCAACCCCATAAATATTCTCAATTCTGGTACTGGGTGCCCTCAGTGACCCAGGGGGATGGAGAAGCACTTCTTTTTATTAAATCAAGTGGCTTGGCATGGCAGTTAATAGCTCTGCTATGTTTCTGTGTGATCTTGGCATGTTGATTAACCTCATTGCTTTTCAGTCCCCTCCTCCAGGAAATGAAAGCAGCTACCTCAGAGCAACAGATGAGAATAATCCTTCCAAACAGAAGGATTAGCAGAAGTAAGCATCTGGAAGAATGAGCCATGTGTACAGCCTGTTGTTATCAGTCTCTACTTTTTGTCCTGTTTTTCCATGAGAATGTGAAGGATGATCCCCCAGGTCAGGAGGTACAGGGCAGTAGAAGATGGCACAAACAATGAAAGGCCTCATTCCCAAGGAAATTGCTACCTGGAAGATGGACAACAGAACAGTTCCTAAAGAAGCTATAAGCAACGTTCCACGGGAGTCAAAAGAAGGAGAGGGTGGTATGGTACAATGGCAAAGAGCATAAGATCCAGAATCACAGATGTCCACTGGCATAACTTAGACAGGTTAGCTGTACTTAAGAGAAAACTGGAGATGAAAAGAGACTCTATATCATATGGTGGATGCGGGTCTGAAGTGAATTAATCCATGCAAAGCACTTAGTACAGGGCCTAGCCCATCACAGACCTAAGTGTTAGCTCCTGTGGGGCACTGCACTCCCATGGGAAACATGGGATTGTTGCTACTTCTTGCTGTCTGTAGCTTACACTTTTGAATATTCAGTGTTTCAGTTTTTGCTTAGCTCTTAACTTTTTAGAATCTGAAATATATAGCTGTTAATAACAACCAAGTGGAGGACAGGGGGAAAAAAAGAGTAAAATAATTTTTGAAACCAGTGATCCAAAGCCAAGAAGGTTTCTTCCTTAGAAGAAAGATGGTTCACCCAAGATACGGGCTTATTATCCTCAACAGTCTCACTAACCTGAAGGCTGGGAATGAAAAAAAATGTGTCTTTGGAGTAACTCTGTTTGCTGTAAGGATGCCAATCTAGAAGAAGGGTACCCGAGACTTTTTATTTTGCATGCATGAAACCAAAGGATCATTGAATGGAGAAGAAACATTAGAAGAACTCAATATTAAAATAACCAGGTCAGTGCCAAATATACATGTCAATACTTTAAGATTTCATTCCTAACAGAAGATCTATGTTGGAAAAAATGAACCCTGGCTTTTCCCAGATGGAGAAAAGACTCTATATGTGTCATGACTGGAGACTTACATTTTCTTGTAACAAAGTGCAAGCATAGTTAATCAGAGAAAATAAGTGGTCTGACCTGGACACACAATAAGGCCCAAAACCTAATGAAAAAGTCTTATTGTTTCTTTTAATCAGCAGTTTATGGTAGTACATGCTGGTACTTATTCAAAAGAAACCTGTAGGCAAAACCAAAGCAGAACAAAGCAAAACAAAACAAACTGGTAGAAATTCCCCACATATAGATTTAGGGAGTAGCTACAAAAGACTTATCAAGAATTGTGATAAGTAGGAAAAAGGGAAAACCAATAGCATATTAGAAGGCATGCCACTTATTTGATGATTTAATACACAAAATCTTAAGAACTGGAGTTAGTTCCTCACTGTGAAGTATGTCATGAGGTCATAGGAAATTAATCATCCTAGGTGTAATTATATAAAAAATAGTGAAAGGGAATAAAGTGGAAAGGAGAAAAAAAGTGAGTGGGAAATATCAGAAAGGGAGACAGAATATGAAAGACTCCTAACTCTGGGAAACGAACTAGGGGTGGTGGAAGGGGAGGTGGGCAGGGTGTGGGGGTGACTGGGTGACGGGCACTGAGGTGGGCACTTGATGGGATGAGCCCTGGGTGTTATTCTATATGTTGACAAATTGAACACCAATAAAAAATAAATTTATATATATAAAAAATAAACAATGAACCAACCAAGAAATGGTAGGCAGCATAAAGAAATGGTACTGTATGTGTCTTGGTGGGGGAGGGGAGAATATAATTGATGCTGAAGCTGATGTATTATAGAACATAAGGTTGAGGTGATTTTGAATATTTAATAATAAAAAGCCATTAGACACTAAAACTTCAAGATTTCCAATAGTTGAGACATAAATTGAAATAGATAAACAGACCTGATGTCTGAATTACCAGTCATGTAATGATACTTCACCTAAGAATGACATGCATTTTAACAATTTACCATTAAAGTTTTAGACTGGCTATCTTTTGGGGAAGTGCTATGTATGGTATACAGAGTATTAAAACCACAGAAGTGGGATCCGTGGGTGGCGCAGCTGTTTGGCGCCTGCCTTTGGCCCAGGGCATGATCCCGGAGACCCGGGATCAAATCCCACGTCGGGCTCCCAGTGCATAGAGCCTGCTTCTCCCTCTGCCTATGTCTCTGCCTCTCTCTCTTTCTCTCTCTGTGACTATCATAAATAAATAAAAAAATTAAAAAAAAAAGAAGCATTTAAAAAAAGAAAAAAAAATAAAACCACAGAAGTTATAATTAATGGAAAGAGAGAAGAGTGGAACATCTTAAGGGGGAAGTTGGAAATCCTGACCTCCAGCTCCAGTCCTATCAGAAATCTTTGGGCCTTGCTTTCCTTCTCTAGTTCTGGCCCAGCATTCCTTATCTCTAAATTCTTTGCCAGCTCATAAATTATGTGATTTTTTTTCACATCAGAACTCCAGTCTATAACTGGTTTCTCTGAAACTATTATCAACTCCAATTATCCCTAATCTTACCTCAATCCTTCCCTTCATTTTATATGATTAATTTTTTCCAATTTCTTTTTTCCCGTCTGTGACTGTTTTAGTTTTTTTTTTTTTTTTTGTGCTTTTTTTCTACTCAAAAGGATTAAGGATGTCAAAACCTATGGAATCCCATAGATTGAAGCATTGAGCCTATGAATTTACCTTGAATGAATCAACAGTATTTTATTACTCTCTAGGAAAAAGCTAAAATATTTAGTAAATTTGTTCAGTAAGTTATAAAGTATCATATTTAAAATGTAATCCTGACTATATATAAATGCAGGAAAAAAATAGTAGATAAGTAGCTATTTTAAGCTTCCAGTCAAGAGTCTGTTAGTACGATAGTGTAAAATTAAGGCTTTCAAAAAGATTTTGAAAAGGAGTTTGATATAACTTTGTCTTATTTATGGTTATTTGGAAATGACATAACATTAAATTCTACTACTCAAGACATATAGGTTACAACCTAGTTTTGCTTCTAAGCTAGATATTTGATATATACCACATCTCTAGTGTAAGCATTTTGCTTATTTTTAGTGCAACCTAGAACAGAAAACATACAAATTTGGAGTCTAATATAATTAGTCTACAGTGATGCCAGGGTTCCTTTTCTAGATACTCGATTACTTAGAGATACTTGTCCTTGCTAAGGAATATTAACTGCCATGAAAATCAGTCATTTAACCAAATATTATTAAGATATTTATTTTAGATTTATAAAATCATATCATTTCAGATTTGGACAGGTGCTTAGAGATCTTCTAGATCTGTGGTTTTTTTAAATTGCTGTCTGTGACTCCCGAGGATCCCTGAGAACCTTTCATGAGGTCTGCAAGATCAAGGTATCACTAGCAGATTACTGCCTTTTGCCCTGTTGTACAAAAGCAATGGTGGGTAAAACCACTGGTGCCTTAGCATGAATCAAACAGTGGCACCAAACTGTTTTAATAGTCATTGTATTCTTTACCATGGCACAATAGCAGAAAAAAAATTGTTGCTACAAGAGTAATGGTGAGGGGTTCAGCAGGGTCACAGGCTATAAGAGCAATATACAAATACCAGTTGCATTTCAATATGTCAGCAATGGAAAATCCAAAAATCCAAAAATGAAGAGACAATTTTATTCAAAATAGTGTCAAATATTTAGGAATACATTTGACACAAGAATTGTATGATGTGTACTGAAAGGTACAAAATATTGGAGAAATCAGGTATTTAAATACATGTTTATGGATTGGAAGAATCAATACTGTTAAGATGACAGTTTTCTCCAAATGCATCTAAAGGGTCAATACAATTCCTGTCTAAAATCAAGGAAATGAATAAGTTCATCCTAAAGTTTATATATAAAGGTAAAGAACCTAGAATAAGCAAAACAATTTTGAAAAAAAGAACGAAGTATGACTTACAACATGTGTTTAAAAATTTACTATAAACTACAGTAAGTTATAAATATAGATAGGATGGCAGTTGCATAACAATAGACACATAGGTCATTGGAACAGAAAAGAAAGTCCAGAAATAATATCTTACATTGATCATCAAATGAGTTTTGACAAAGGTGCCAATGCAATTCAATGACGAGAGGGTAATCTTTTAAAAAATGGTGTTGGAACAATTGTATATGTCTATGCAAAAAAAAAATGAACTTATATACTTACCTCATATCCTACACAAAAATTAATTGTGATCATACATCTAAATGTAAGAGCTAAAATGTAAAACTGTTAAAGAAAACATTGTATAATTTTTTTTGGGATCTTGGCTTAGGAAATATTTCATAGATATGACACCACAAACATGATCCATAAAAGAACAATTTGATAAATTGTATTTAGTCAAAATTAAAAATGTTGTTCCTCAAAAGACACCATTAAGAAGATGAAGAGAAAAGCCAGAGAGTGGGAAAAATATTTGCAAATCATATATCTGATGAAGGTCTTCTGTCTAGAGAATATAAAAAACTCCTACAATTAAACCAATATAAAGACAAATAACAATTTAAGAGTGTAGGAGATTTAAATAGACATTTCACCAAAGTAGATATACAAATAGCTAAGAAAACTAAAATGGAAAGTACTCATAATTATGAGTCTCTTAGGGAAATAGAAATTAAAACCACAATGAGATACCATTACACATCATTAGAATGGCTACAATGAATAAGACTGATAATAAGTGTTGGTGAGCATGTGGAGGAATTGGAACTGTCAGATAATGCTGGTGGGACTGTAAACTGGTACTACCATTTTTTATATTAATATGATCCAGAAATATTATTCATATTCCTCCAATATTAGTAATTTGTTTATATTTAGTTCTACATAATTTTCTGATGTGTAGGTGTATGTATCCATCACCAATCAAGATATGGAACAGGTCCTTCACCACAGGGATGCCTAATGATATTCTCTTATAACCACACTTCCTTTGCCTCCCCTCCCCATTCCTAACTCCTAATTACCGCTGATCTGTCCTCAGTCTCTATTTCAAGAATGTTAGATAAATGGAATCATACAGTATATAATCTTTTGAGATTGGCTTTTTTCACTCAGCATGGTTCCTTTGCAGTTTATCCAAGTTGTTGTATATATCAATAGCTTGTTCCTTTTTAATCTTGAGTAGTATTGTATGAAATGTATGTACCATAGTTTGTTTAAACCACTCACCCACTGAACTATGTCTGAATTGTTTGTGGGTTCTGGTTATTACAAATAAGCTACTATGAACATGCATGAAATAATTGCATGAACATAATTTTCATTTCTTTGGCCCAAGAGTACAATTGCTGGATCTGACAGTAATTGCATGTTTAGTTTTATAATAAATATCTAAACTCCTTGCTACAGTGATTCTACAATTCTTCATTCTCACCAGAAAAGTATATTTATTTTAGCCATTCTGATAGGTGTGTAGCGGTATCTCACTGTGGTTTTATATTTTGCATTTCCCTAATGGCTGATGATGTTGAACATCTTTTCATGTGTTTATTGGGTCATCGTATATGCTCTTCAGTAAAATTTCTGTTTATATCTTTTCCCCATTTTCTATTTCTGTTTTTTGTTGTTGAGTTTTGAGAGTTTTCTACATATTCTAGATATTAGCCTTTGTTGGATTTGTTGATTGCAAATATTCTTTTCTGTTCTGTAGCTTTCTTTTCTTCCGTCCTTTGCAGAGTAAAAGTTTTAAGTTTTGATGAAGTTATATTTATCAATTTTTTCTTTCATAGATTGTCCTTCAGGTACCAACTCTAAGAACTCTTTACTTAGTCCTAGATCCCAAAGATTTTCTTTCTTTTGCCCGTAAAGTTTTATACTTTTACATCATCATTTAGGTCCATAGTTTCAAACAAATTATTTTTAATAGTGGTAAAATATATAGAAGATGAAATTTACCAAATTAGTCATTAGTTATGGGTCATGGATGTCTTTAGCAGAGAAGAGGTAGTTTCAACAGAATGAGGGGAGGCATTGAGGATCAAGGAACCTAACAAGGGATCGAGTGACAAATATTAAGCCCTAAGGCACTTACTTTCTCCACTCACTCATTTATCCAAAATTTCTGGCTAAGCAATAACAACTTATTAGATGTTATCAATTCTGTACCAGCTTTGTTTTCTGGACCAATTCCACAACCTATTAAACGTTTATCATTTCATGAGAGTTAAGAGTTATTGAGTTAACAGTTATAAGAGTTATTGCAAACAAGTAAAGAATATCAAAACCACAGTAGAGGTGGATCCTGGTCTATCAGCTGAGAGACTGCATGTATTATTTCAGCCTGAAAGCAGGACCAATTTGAATTAGCATCTCTGTAAGATTATAAATAGCTCAGTGTTCTGGTTCACACAATTGGAACTAAAGACGTTGACTCCTCACATTCTGAGAGTCTATGCTCCCTGCTTCTTTCCCTCCCTCCTTCCACCTCTTCTCTTCCTAAATATACATGAATTGTCTTCT